AGCTTCCCGCACCAACAGCATCATGGGTTTGAGTCAATGTGCATGCCGATGAGATGCTTCCACAAGATTGAAATGCATTATTGTCCATATCATAAGTGCTCGTTGTCCAATAATCTTCAGATAAAGTAGATTTTGAAGCCTTTTTCCAGGCGTGGTAGGTATGCTGTGATTTTAATGATTCCTCGAGTGAGGGAATCAGGTGGGGCCTATTGTCACACCTAAGACAGCAACTGCTCCCATACAGGCAATAATATGAAACACCCAAACTGCAATCGATCCGAAACGTAATAAGGAACCCACCATAAACATTGATTTAAATATAGCTGAAGAACTTCGGCGGATACCTTAAGAGAGAAAAGAATCTGCTCCATCATTTTTTATCTTCTACTAGCTTACAACTTCTTTATCCTCATGCTGCTCATCTCAAAATACCAAGAACTCGTCGCATCCCAAAATATCGCGAGCTCGTCAAAACCACTAGCTCGGCACTCCTCAGTACCACGAGCTCACCTAAACTGCGAGCTCGTCACATCTTGACAAAGAAAACCATGAGCTCGGCGAAAACGTGAGCTTGTCATATCTTGACCAAGAAAATCACGAGCTCGGCGCATCTTGACAAAGAAAATCACGAGCTCAGAAATACCGTGAGATCATATTTTGACAAAGAAAATCAGAAGCTCGGTGAAACCGTGAGCTCGTCACATCTTCGACAAGAGAATCACGAGGTCAACAAAAAACCAGGAGCTCGGCTAATCTGCCAGCTCGTCCCTTGTCACATCCACAAAAAACTATCTTTGACAAATAACCACAAGCTCGGCAAAACCGCCAGCCGTCACCTGTCACATCCACAAAAAAACCATCTTTGACAAAAAACCACGAGCTCGGCACTCCTTAAACACCCGGATCTCGTCGCACTCCTTAAAATCTGATGCACTGCTTTCCTCTCGCCAACAAGCACGGCCAGCAAGATTCCCGATCTCCCATCTCCACATTCATGTCCTGCGGATTCATAGGTAAATGCTCTCCTTCCTTGTTCATCATTTTTTTCCACTCGACACATAATTGCAGCAAGTATTTATATCCCCGTGCAGTCGTTATCTTTCGTTAATATTTCTATGACTTCATGTCGTAATATGTGGTTTAGAAGAATTAGCCCCGTCAACACAAATTTTCTCAGTCAAATTCCATATAGGAGATTGCTTCATTCAGAATCTTCTCATGTTCTTAATAAGTGCAAAATCTATTTTCGACATATGCATTAATTAATAAAGAAAATTCAAACCTCAACCGGTTATTTGCAAAACCTCGGTTAGTTGTAACTTTGAAAGATTCTTCATCAACGCAAACCTCCGCCGCCGCCCATTCACCATTCGTTTTCACAGCGGAAAATCATGAACTGCCGAGGCTTTCTGGACTGCCGCCCTCCGCACTCCTTCAATCGCAAAAATTATGAAGTTAGTCAATAGGCTCCAAACATAACGGCGACTGAAAAAACAAATGAAGAATTAAAAAAAAAAAGAAAAAAAAAAAAGAAAAATCTGAGTTCGTCATTGATATAGCACATAGTAATGACTTGGTAAACCGAGAGCATTTACCCAACTCCTATGACCTCCCAGGTACGTGCCGGGCTAGTCCTAATCCCGCCCATATATGCGACTGATCCTGGATACCGGCCGAGCTTATTCAGCTTGGCCCCACGCAATTCATCTCGTTGCTTTTTAGCTCGTCTATCATGACAACTTGACTTGAATGATGTACCCGCCGAGCCACTTTCGTCTCTCCATATCGCTTAAAGTGATTACCACACCATGTGAACGGGAACAACGTGCCATGGCATTACCAGTCCTCCATTCATGAGGCCGAGCTCATCTCCCTACATTCTCGTCGTGCTTTCCCATGACATGTCGAGCTGTGTTGAGCTCGACCCCTCTCTTTGGCCTGCTAGGTCGACTGAAAACCGAGCTCCTGAACCCGATCTTACCCCCGCATAGCTCGCAAGTCTACACGAGCTCGGCGTTCTTACTAAACCGATTAGCTGATGTACATGCTAAGCTATTCCAGCTTACCCGCCGACGCTACGTCACATGTCTGCCGAGCTACTCTTTTAGACGCCACGTCACATGTCTGCCGAGCTACTCTATTTTATGCTATATGTTACATCACCTCATCTCCTCAGCTCGGCCCACCATGGCAACGCGCCTGGCACCTTGGAGTTCATAGCCGACCTGGTAGCTCGGAGCTCTTGGCTGGGCTCGCTTTTGCTACCCCTGCAATGGCCGAGCTCCCTAAATGCGCGAACCACCCAGCTAGGCAAAAAAGATAACAAGTTAAAACCGGCTCAGCTTCAGCACACTACAAACCATCCTCCTATGCCATATCAGGTGTAAAAAAATAGTAAATACTAATTGATATGATATCATTATACTTTATAGTTGAAAATATTGGTGTAATAAAAATAGTAAATACTAATTAATAAGGAACTCGTTAATATGAAAAATACAAGTATGTATGTCGTAATGATTTTTATTTATTATTTTTTATCGCGTCAGTGGAAATTTTATAGAAACAAATAGATGAGAATAATACTTTTTTTTTTTGGTACAAATTAGAATAATACTAGTGAGAACGTATTATACTCGAAATAATAGTGTATTATTATTATTGTAGTATTCTAAGAAACTGAAATGAAGATGAATGAAAGATCTCTCACAATGCTATTCATAATCCGACACAACTAGGCACTTAACATTTTCCAGCAAATATATAAAAGCTGAAAAGACAAAACCAATACTTGACAAACAATGCTAATTAAGGTCTATGAAGTATGAACACATCTCCAAACCTATATGAAGCATTTCATTTATGTTGTTCGGGTGTGGCTCGGACAAGTCCGAGCTCTTCATGGTGTTCGAGTGTTGATCGGACGAGTCCGAGCTCTTCATGTTGTTCGGATAAGCCCGAGCTCTTTATGTTGCTCGGGTGTCGCTTGGACAAGCCCGATCTCTTTTTGTTGTTTGGGTGTCGCTCGGACAAGTCCGAGCTCTTTATGTGCGGGTGTTGCTTAGACAATTGCCCAAGCTCTTTATGTTGTATGGGTGTCGCTCGGACAAGTCCGAGTTCTTTATGTGCGGGTGTTGCTTAGACAAGCCCGAGCTCTTTATGTTGTTTGGGCGTCGATCGGCTATGAAGCCGCGCTCTGTATGTTGCATAAGTCCGTACAATGGTCAAGGAGTGGGGCGGTTTAAGGTGGACAAGCTCGGAGAAGAAGATGAATAACGTAGCTATTTATGCTTAACGAGATTTTGGTTAGAGAAGGAGTTGTTCCATATTGCACAGGAATATTGGAGGGTATAAGCGAGCTATTAATTATGGGTATTATGAACCCAGTCATGGTGTTCAATACAAAGACCGAACTCATGTGATGATGACATCGCGGTGCCCGTGTAAAGACATGGTGTTCAATAAACGAGCTATGAATATATAGCATATCGGATTTAACATGAAGACGGGCTAAAAGTACTTAGTGAAAACGTACATATATTTATTACCGATATTATTATAATTATCAAACAAGTCTATTGAAGCTCGTTAAGCAATAACTCATTTCATAATGGGTGGCTAGATGATATAACATAAGAGAATAGCTCGGCAAATCGGACAGAAGAAAGCTTAATTCATGGACCGGTAAGTGTTTTAGTAAGAATAGCAACAACTCGGCCTAGCAACGACGCACATTAGCTCTGCCTACCAACAGCTCGGCCTAGCAGCGAGGCACATTAGCTCGGCCTAGCAGCGAGGCCAATTAGCTCGTCATAGCAACAACTAGGCCTAGCAACAACTCGGTCTAGCATCAAGGTCCATTAACTCGTCATAGCAACAGCAAGGCCTAGCAACAACTCGGTCTAGCATTGAGGCTCATTAGCTCATCACAGCAACAGCTCGGCCTACCAACAACTCAGCCTAGCAACAACTCGGACTAGCATCGAGGCTCATTAGGCCCATTAGCTCGTCAAAGCAATAGCTAGGCCGAGAGCGAGGCCCATTAACTCATCATAGCAACAACTCGGCCTAGCAGAGAGGCTCATTAGCTCGTCATAGCAACAGCTCGGCCTAGCAAAGAGGCCCATTAGCTCGGCCTAGTAACAGCTCGGCCTAGCAGCGAGGCGCATTAGCTTGTCATAGCATTATCAAACAAGTCTATGGAAATTCGCAAAACTATAGTTCGTTTGATAATGGGGGGACTAGATGATATAGCACATAAGAGCGACTCAATAAACAGTCAACTAATAGCTCGGTCTAAGTTGTTGTACCAGTACCTGCTCGGCCTAGTTGTTATAGCACCTTCTCGGCCTAGTTAGCACCTGCTCGGCCTTGTTGTTATAGCACCTGCTCGGTCTAGGTGATATGCCGGTACCTGCTCGGCCTAGTTAGCCACCTGCTCGGTCTAGTTGATAAGTTAGTACCTGCTCGGCCTAGTCAGTACCTCGTCGGTCTAGTTGATATACCAGTACCTGCTCGGCCTAGTTGTTATAGCACCAGCTCGGTTTAATTGTTATAACACCTGCTCGGTTCATTTATAACTGCTCGGTCCAACATTTACATCGGTTGCTCGGAATAGTAGTTCGGTCTTTAACAGGCTCGGCCCAACAATAATATAAGCCTGGTATTATATTGGTCTGCTGTATGTAGCGGGCTCAAGTGATAATAATATTATTATTGAAACATCTTTATTAAAAATCTTTCACAATGCTATTCATAATAACTAGGCACTTGTCAACATTTTCCAGCAAATATATAAAAACTGAAAAGACAAAATCAAAACTTGACAAACAATGTTAAGGTCTATGAAGTATATATGAACACATCTCCAAACCTATACGAGGCATTTCCTTTTTTTCTACCGAGTACAAAAGATACAAAAGGTGAGGGGAAAATCAAATAAACAAAAACAAACGATTAAAAACCTCTAACGACTAATATCGGTTACGGCACAAATTTTCTCAGTCGACTTCCATATCAGAGATTGCATCATTCAGAATCTTCTCAAGTTCTTTCACTCGTTGTCTCGTTAACGATATGCAGTCCTGCAAGCATGTCATGGATTCCTTATAAGTGCACAATCCGTTTTCGACAGAGGGGCATTAATTAATAAAGAAAATACAAACCTCAACCGATTATTTGCAAAACCTCGGTTAGTTGTAACTTTGAAAGATTATTTTTTTTTTTTTCAGAAGACCTGATTTTCGACCGATTATCAGATATAATGTTTTACGTTTCAGTATAGAAGAATGTTGAGAGAAAAGGAAAATAAATAGAGGCGAAAAATTCACCTGGATTGCTGATGTATGTGCCAGACCGGGCCCACCAGGTTTATTAAACGAGACGAGCTGAAAAGACGAGTTGAGTACCACGGTTAGACACGTCTCCATAGTCGACTCTTCCTCAGAGGTGGGGTCGGCCAGAATGTAGTCCTTGTAAAGTACACATGTTAGAGCAAATGGTACCACATTCAGTCTGAGCTTTCGCTTCTCTTTATTGACGGGTTCTCTTTGCTTTGTGGCTCTTCCTTTGCTGTCCTCGGATACAAGAACAACTCGACCGTCATCATTGAGGGAGACTATCGGGATTTTCACTGCAATATAATTGCATTGATATACATAAATTTAGCCCAATCTTAAATATGCAAATTTAGTTCAATGCTTGAATAGAATTTATACTGCAATTATCCTACACCACAATCTGAGCAAAAACCGAGAACCCTTTACAAACTTACGATGCGAGAAGGCCGCCACTGCAGAAAGCAAAGCTGCATCAAAAAGGGCACCGTCAGCATCCAAACAGTAAATGTCCTGCAAACCAATTTTTACAGTGAGAAAGGTTCCTAAATTAAATCCCATCAGTAAGGAGGACTCGAAATATCGAAACTATTTACCAAGTACGCCATCCAAGCAACTTTGCCATTCACCAGACATAAATCTTTCAGATCAATCATGCCAGAACTGCATAAAAGAACAAAACTTAACTAATTATGAGCATATATGGTGAAGGATTAGACATATAATGTTGAGAGAAAAAAATATTATTATGCTCTAAAAGTGGGACAATTATATTTATATTCAAGGAAACTACCGACTGATACACCCACATTTAAAAGATATGAGAACCAAGGAAAAATGATGACAAAATACTGTTTTGCTTTGCTGCATAATAATAAACGAGCTGCAAATTTTTATTTGGACGAAGAACATATCGAATACTGTAATAAATAGCCACATTTCCACAAGAAGTTCATATTAGGAAGTGCTGTCTGATGTTAAGTAGATTCTAATTATGATCTTTCTTTTATTCTCTTTACCTAAGCTTTAAGCTAAAGGAATTCTGAAAAATAACAGTTAAAGTCTGAATAACAAAAAGCTGGACATGCTAGAAAATTGCTTTTCAAGATTTCCGATCATAATTAACAGCATTTTACAAAGGTTGCCTTGCCTCTGCTTGTAGTCATTCTACAATAATATAAAAAACCTTTGATACCCCAAAATGTTCGAATAATCAGTACAAAAACAGTCGTGTAATTTCCTTGCCTCAAAATGGAGTCCGATAACTGTTTAGCTAATACGGGAGCTATTTCTGCCGGCCTGCCAGGGCGAATGAGTGGAGAACAAATCGGGGGCATGTGGAAATCAATGGCTGGAAAAATATCACCCAACACCATTACAAAAGAAAATAGAAAACGAAAAAAAAAAATGTGAAAAGCTATTGGAGCCAAGAACTAACCTATGCAACCTTCATCGGGTGCCTCCATAGTCGGAGTCATGACTTCCATTTTAATGGCAGCTAACATGGTCTGAGCAGGAAACATTCAATTACTTCACACAGACAACAAACAACTCGAGAAAATTACAGGCAATAAATAAATGAATAGCAATGACGATAGAAATAACAAAAATACACGCTTACGGTGCAACCTATCTTCGCCAGTGCTGAACCATTAGCAGATGCCACAGCTCCTAGATTTTTTAACATAAGATTTTGAGCAAGGGCGTGAATTTTTTTGCAAAGGCAGCATGATAAAAAGGAATATGACTGACAAAATTGACTAACCGAGCACGAGTGACGTGTCTCGAGCTCTATCAAGGGGCCGACCGTCGGGCCTAATCGATTCAACAAGGTGACGCTCGTGAAACCGTAAAGGAAAAAGACGTCTAAAAGCATCCACCTCCATTTCTGATGACAAATCATTCATTCCACCAGTAGCAGCCATTTTTTATTGCTGTATTTTCTCTGTACTACACGAAAAATCGAATCGATCTTCACAACTAAACAGCGCATAGACAAATCAAAACTGAATTTCATCCCCTCCCACTTAATAGAATGTTTAACATATCCTCTATAAACCAAAATAGCAAGGGACTTATAGTTCCATTAGCCACAGATGAAAGCACATTAATGAGAAACTTCAAGCGTTTCATGATACTGTGAAAAATCAGATAATTACAGACAGTATTTTCACATGGGAGCCCTTTAAATCGGATCAATATAAAACAATTCATGAAAAAAAAACCATTGCTTTACCAACTGAGCTATAATATGAACAGAAAACGAAAGAAACAAGGACACAGCCAAGCAAACGCACAAATCACAATCAGTTGCAAAATCAAGCCTCGAATCGAATAGGGTTTTAGATATTTATCTGGACTAAGCTAACTTTACCTCGAGTGACTGACTCGTGGTCGGAGAGAGCACGGAGCACGGCGGCGGAGTCGAAAGCTTAAGTCTCACAGTGAGCGGCGACGCGGAGTTGGTGTATTGGGCTGCGGTAGTGAATTTGAGCCGACCCGTTCACACTATCTGTTTGTGTCCGGTTTGGGCTTGGAAGCTATAAGTAATTTGGGCTAAAAAATAACAGTTAACATGTGAAGTATGTATCTTATGGGCCTGGTGAACAACTTTTGTACTGTAGCTCATAAGTCAGACCAATGTAATGTCGTGGTTAAAAGGCCATATCTCGATTTTTAGATAAAGATTAATGGCGCAATTTTATATATACTTAACGAAAATAAAAGATTTGTAAAAATCCTATGTGGTGTTATTGTATTGCACTATTATAGAAACTGGTTAAAATAATTGCATATATACGTAGATTCAGTTACCATATCTGAAAAGGTGTAACTTATCATTGAGTTGAGGACCGTTTTTCACGTTAGATAATAGAGATAATAACCAACATGGAAAGTAATTAATTCCTGAAAATAAGGAATGTGGTTGAGTGGAATTAGGAAAGATACACCTTTTGAATTTCTAGCGCCTTCAGCAACATATAACTCAAATAAATAAATCGATGGATATATTTGTTCACGAATCAGCGTATAACTCATAATCCTGAACATTAATTTTCACGAAGCAGGTATTTTTTTATCATCTCGATTGATTTATTTGATATTGTTGATATATTTTTTGTTTATATTTGAAATGAAATCATGTCGGCCGTATACAAAAACGTATATTTTCTGATTATTCTGTGTTTTCATAGATGGATACGCAATTGAAGATCTCCGTACATTACAATGGTGAATTGGTCATGAATGAGTATGTAAACTTTCAAGTTTTGGGTATACTAGTTCGTAGAAATTGCAGATTCGACGAACTATGTGATGTACTGAAGGAGAAGCTTGGAATCACGTGTCAAACTTCTGTTCTTGAGTTGAAATACAAACTGAAGGACGGATATCCCCTCATTTGCATAGATGATGACATGAGTCTTGCATTTTACGTTGACTTCAAAATGGGTGAGTCAGATTACACGAAGTTCCCGGTTTGCGTGGTCGTGAATTCTCCATTTAATGGACAAGCCACGTTTGAGGGTGCGCAAAGGGTGAATGATGTAAGTGATGAAACAAATGTAACACCTTTGGTACATAAGGATCTCGACAAATATACGAAGACAAAAGATGAATCACTCAACTTCAGGTCTTTCGCTCATGGAGTAGCAGCAGATATGGTAGAGGCGATGATATATACGGAAAATATACAGTCTATATACCCAGACAGCGGACAGAGCTTACCTATCGAGCCAAGTAGTGAGTCGGATATTGTTGTTGGTCTCTTATTCGAAGATAAACTGATGTTGCAGAAAATGTTGACAATTCATGCTATAAAGAACCAATACCAGTTCAGAGTTGAGAAATCATGCACGAAACAATATTACGTGAAATGTGTGTCTAGTGCGTGCACGTGGTTTGTGAGAGCATCCTGTATCGGTCAATTAAGCACGTTTAAGGTCAGAGCTGTTGGGACTGAACATAGATGCGGATTAGATGTTCGTATGGGTGGACAGAGGCAGGCGACTTCTGACGTTGTTAGTAGTTTTATTAAGGATAAGTTCGCAAATAATAAAACTTACTTATAATCCGGGTGATATCATCCACGACATGGAAAATCACTACGGGATAAACCTGTCTTATCACAAAGCATGGAGATCAAAGCGCAAGGCGATTGATGAGGTACGTGGCAAGCCCGATGAATCATACGACTGCGTACACCATTATCTTGATAAAGTTCATGCATCAAATCCAAGGAGTATTTTGACTTTGTGCACAACAACTGAAGGGAATTTTATGTACGTATTCATGTCTCTAAACGCAACAAAAAAAGGTTGGGTTCACTGTCGACCAATTATTGTTGTTGATGGGCTTTTTTAACCTCAACGTACGGAGGTATTTTATTGACAGCTTGTTGCCAGGATGCAAATTTTCACATCTTACCGCTTCCGTTTAGCATTGTTGACTCGGAAAATAATCGTGCATACACTTGGTTCTTTACGAAATTGAAAGCAGTTATTGGTGAGAGAGATGAGTTGTGCATCGTGTCAGACGGTCATGAAGCCATAAAACACGTTGTAGCTAGGGTAAGTGTATATTTTTAGTATATGTTTTGTATATGTTACGTATATATTTGAGTAACTGATGTAATTTATTACAACATGAATATTAGTAAGTGCCAATATTTTTTTTGTTTAGGTTTTTTCTACAGCTGCGCATTGTCTATGTACGTACAAATATCAAACAACCTCAAGATGCATTTTAAGACCGAAGCTGAATCAGTTAAGGATGCTTTCAATGCAGCGGCAAGAGCTTATACATTAGAGGAATTTGATAAGTATTGGTCACAATTGAAAAGGTTGAACCCGTCTGTGGTAACACATCTAGAAACAATTGGCATACAGTAGTGGGCAAGGGTTCACAGTCCAAATAACAGGTACATCACCATGACATCTAACGCAGCTGAAACAATAAATTCTGCCATAAGATCTCTACGTGAGCTCCCAATAACTACACTATTAAAAGCGCTAAGAGACATGCAACAACGGTGGAATGCGGCGAATAGAGATGAAGCAAAGTCCACTTTTACTACACTTGCAAAGAAGCCTCATAATATGTTGGAGAATAATTACAAAGCATCAGCGAGATTCTCTGTAAGTGCACTTTTAATACAAAATGAATTATATACATACAATATATTGTATATATACAACTTTGGAGAATAATTACAAAGCATCAGCGAGATTCTCTGTAAGTGTACTTGAATATCACATGGATTATATACTGAATATATACCAAATATATACTATCTTTTGTATTTAATTAAGTTTATTATGACTTTTATATTTTTTGTACAGGTTCAAAAAGCTAGTGACAGTGTGTACAAAGTAGTAGCTGATGGTAAATCGTTTGTAGTTGATATAGACGCTAAGACTTGCTCGTGCCATCGGTTTCAAATAGAGGAACTCCCTTGTCCGCATGCTATTCGTGTAATAAAATCACTACATTTGGATCCTGTCCCATTTTGTTCAGCTCATTACTTGACATCAACTATGTTGAGTACATATGATGAAGCAGTAATGCCAATCGAAGGAAGCCAACCATTTAGATGTGACACAATGCCAACGACAAGTCGAGTACATCCACCAGATTCAAGAGTCCGTCCGGGACGTCCACGAAAACAACGAATAAAGTCAGGATGGGAGCATAGATCTAAGAATAGATGCAATAAATGTAATGAAAAAGGGCATAATGTAAAAACTTGTCGAAATCCAAAGAAATCTTAATGCATTTCTGTATGTATTCAAAAACTCCGAATGGATGTGACCATACTTTTGTGTATTTTATCTCTTTGAATTTCATAATACATGTGATGTTATTAGAAATTAGACATGTGTTATTTTTAGGTGTGATATTTTAGAATTTAGCCAAGTGATATTTTATATCTATTTAAAAATTAGTCATGTGTTATTGTTAGGTGTGCTGTATGCATACCATTATATATATCTACTAGATATTTAAAATTAAATATTAAGTGATTGTACCATTTTGAATAAGGACAATGCTACTTGTAGCATTATTCTTTGAATAACATGTCAATTAAGTATGTTTTAATTTTAAAAGTTATAATTAAAATATATGTATATTTTAAGTATGTTTTATATTTATCATTAGCTAGCTCCAATTGATATTGTACATTAAGTAATTTATCAGCATTTTTACTTTTGGATTTAATGAGAGTTATAAGTTTTGTCATCTTTCTTACCCCTTATTTAGTTATTACAATACTAATGAAATAATTAAGGACCTTTCAAAGTATCTTGTTTGCTTTGAAAAAAATTAATTCTTATCATTAATTGAACGCCAATTACATTGAATGTGTTATATTTTCTATCGTATAAAAAATTTTCATAATAATAGTTGCACACAATATTATATATAATGCATTTTTTTGTATAAATTTGGAGTCTTAATTTTACTGCAAGAAAATGAGAAAATTCCAACAAAAATTTCAACAAATATAACGATTTTCTTATGTTGATTTTAGAAAATTCTTGACTTTTGGTTTCTTAAATATATTTTACCTTATGTGATTGCATAGATTTATTAAAATGTATTAAAAAATGAGAAAGGTGATAGATTATGTAAAGAATAATTTATAAATTGCAATGACATGTTATTTTGATGGTATATTTTTTCTATTAACTAAATAATGCTCCCAATATGAAATTATTTTGGATCTATCACTGCAATTATCTTTCCAATGGAACTTCTATTGAATTTTTACATAATACCAATGACAATTTTTTCAACGATTGAAATAGGGTCCAAAAAATACATTCCAATAGAAATTTAGGTAATTGAAATCTTTACATCCACTAAAGTTCATGTAATTTAATTTGATCTCTATTGGAATAGCCAATGAAAACAACATATTCGTTGA